CTCCCATCCCCTCCGCTCTGCCCCCATTCCGGGCTGTGTCCCCCATCCCGGGCTGTGCTGGGGGCTGCTGCCGGCTGGGGAGCAGGCGGTGAGGGGCTGGGGTGGGGAGCAGAGTGGGGTGGCTCCTGTCCCTGCTCAGGGGAGCCCGACACGGCCGGCACTGCCATGGGGGCTCCCGTGATCCGGGGGATCTCTCGGGGCTCAGGGAAGGGGAAGTTGGCAGTGGCAGGTGCAAACAAAGCCTTCTCCCAGCCGGTTCCTTTGGTTCCCGGCAAACCTGGCCCCAGGTGTGCCATTGTCCCCTCCCGTGTCGCCTCGCAGCCAGCCCCCGGCGGGCTCTTCCCAGCTGGCCGAGCTAATGACGCCTTTGGCGTTTCTACGGGACTTTTTCAAAGGCAGTTCCCGGGCTCGGAGCTCCAGGCTGTTCCTGGGCTGGCTTAGGGCAGCAGGCGGTCCCTGCGGGTCTCTGGCCCTGCTTGGTGTTGTGGCTGGTCAGGATCTCTGGGAAGCTGCCGTGTCTCGGCTCGGGCAGAGCGGGCAGAGCTGGGAGCCGGGGCTGATCCTCGGCCTTGGTGTCCCCGGCAGTGACCTGAGCCCCTGGGTGAGCGCCCTTGGCACCGCACCTGAGCTCGGGATGGCTCTGGGGATGGATCCAGAGCTCCAGCCCGAGCTGCCCCCGGGGTCCTGCTGGCCTGGCGCTGCCTCCCTGCAGCCCCCCCTGCCCACCTCCCCCCGCTGCTCCGGGGTCCAGCCCCTGCTGCCTCAGAGTCTGTTTGCTGCAGAAATACCAAAGGGTCCTGATGATGTTTGAGCATTGGAGGCCTTGGTGCTTTCATTCTTTTCCGGCCATCTCCAAGTAAACACAGGGAAATAGGAATTTGCTGTCTTCCTCCTTTAAATAAACCTATTTGCGTGTGGGCGGGGAGGGCTTGGCCCCTCGGATGTCTTTCTTTGTGCGAATCTTTTCCTTTTTAAGCAGAAAATAGTGCCTGCCCAGGCAGCTGGGCACTGACCCGGGGGCAGAGCTGCTCCTCTCGGAGCAGGGATGAGCCTGCCCTGCGTGGGGGGGTCGGGGCTGGGCTCAGGGACCCCTTCCTTGCCGGGGGAGGAGGCCAGGCTGTGCCAGGAGGAGAAGCACCAGCCTCCAGCAGTGTCCGTGCTCTTTTTCTCTCCCCATGTCCTGGGGAACTTGTGGGTGACCTGAGGAGCGGTCCTGGAGCTGCCCGCTGTGTCCCCGGAGGGTTTCTGTAGGTGCAGAGGTTCCCGTCCCGCTCTCTGCTCCCTAAGGCAGGGAGGGGCAGTGCCAGCCCCCATCCCACCCCTTCCCGCAGGGAATGCTGCCCCTCAGACGGAGCTGGGGAGAGGAGCTGAAACTGAGAGAGCCAAAAAACTGGTGTGTGCTGAGAGCTGAGATCGGCTGGAGCACGGCCCGCTTGGTGCCCTGAGCTTTTCCTTGAGGAACCGCCCAGGCTCTGGAAGAATAAACCCGAGCCCGTTTATTCAAGGCATAAAATCTCCCCGCAAATTCTTGAGCCGGATCCCGGCCTTTCCTGCCCGTGGGCAGCGAGGTTTGGTGGGGAAGGCGAGGGGAGCTCCGGCTTTGGTGTCGCTCCTGAGTTCCCGGAGCGAAGCTTAGCGGGGAGGTGATTCATAAAGCCCCGCTTGTTCGGGAGCCTCCCCGGCTGTGCTGAATGAGCGCTGGCAGCTCGGGATGCCTGGGATTGCAGCCCCGGGTCATGTGTGGGAAACGCCGGCGGCTCCCGGCCCCGCTCCGCCACTCCCGGGCACCGATGGAAAACTCATTTCCAACATGCCTGTTGCTTCATGCTCCCTGGAAAAATCCAGTGGGCTCCTCCCTGCGCAGTCAGGAGCGTGTGGGCGTTTCCTGAGCTTTTTTTTTTTCCTTTAGAAAGCACAGGGAAATATAAAAATAGATTTTTGGCTTTTTTTTTTCTATTTTTGCAAGGAGTTTGAGGTCTGTGACATTGTTTCCAGGAACGGCTGGGGCTAGCTGTCCCGCTTGGGGAGGCCAGCTGGATGAGGTGAATGTTTAACTGGAGGAGTCCCAGCAGCTCCCACCCCGCTCTGGCAGGTGGCTTTGGGTTATCGCTCCTGGCAGGAAGCTCCGGAGGGACCGGAGTCTCCTGCAGCCAAGCAGCCACACATTTCCCCAGCTCCCTTTGCCATTGCTAAGCCTTAAATGAGTTTTGCAGGGTCACCGGGAGCCCTGGCCAAGCCTTTCCGCCTCCCATCCTTTCTTCCCGGAGCAGCGGGGGCAGCAGGAGGTTTCCTGTTTTCCCATCCCAAGCAGGAGGCAGGCACACGGCCACGGGCTCCGGCTTTTTGGGGGTTTTTGGGGGTTTTTGGGGGGTTTTTGGGAGTTTTTGGGGAGCTCTCCACACATGTGAGGGCTGGTGGGAGGCTGCTGCTCCGTTTGTTTGGAAAGGGGTGTCCTGAAAGCAGGTGGGAGTCACTCAGCAGCCCACCCAGCCTTAAATAAAGCCGCTCTCCAGCGTTGGTTTGCCATTGGAATTGCAGAGGGGGTTGTGGACACATCCAGCTGGGAAGGGAGGAGGGCCCAAGGGCAGCTCTGCCAGGGCCTGGGACACGGCAGGACACGGCAGGACACGGGTGCAGCCGGGTGTGAGCTGCTGTCCCTGGGAGCACGGCACAGCCGGGCCAGCCCGGCCAAATTCAAGCTGCAGAAGCCGCTCTGCAATTAATGAGTAACTGCTGTCCTTGGCTCCGGGCAGGGAGACGCTGGGCCAGGAGAGGCAGGAGGGCTGGGTTTCCATTCCTGCCGTCCCTAACAAAGGAAGCAGCTTTTCCAGTGCAGCCGGTGCACAGCCCTGGCTCCTTGGGAACTGCCCCTGAGTGGAACTCTGAACGGTAACCAAGGATGCTCCACTTCCCTGCTCCCCACACAGAGCCCTGCCGGGGGGAGGGAAGCTGAAGAACAGGCTGATTAGAGTTCGTTTTTTCCCTCAGGAAAAAAGCACGGGCTACAGGAAATGATCCGTGGGAGTGAGGAACAGGGTGGTGTGAGCTCCCCTTGCTCGTGTGTCCTGGGCTTTGCTGGGGCTCCTGCCAGTGTGCTGCTGCTGCTGCTGGGGCTGTGGGTGCTGCAAACCCAGTCCTGGGCACCTCAGTTTGGTGCTTGGATTGTAGAGAGCCATGTCCCAGCTTCTAGGCAGACAGGGATCCTCGTGCTCCCATCCTCCCTCCCGGTCCCTGCGGGAGCACAGGGATGGGGAGAGGTGAGGGGATGGGACTGGAAAGGAAAGGCAAGGAAAGGCGAGGCAGGAACGCCCAAGCGAGAAGTAATGGAAAATCTGTCACCACGGTGTTGCAATCCAACGCAGAGCCTGGAGCGTGAGCCGTGGTGCCACTTCTGGTTGTGCTGGGGTGGAGGTGCCCACCGCTCCTGCCAAGGGCCCCGAGGCTGCCAGGGAGGCGATGGTGGGAGATAGGTCCTGGCAGGAGGATGGGGAGAGCTGTCCCACCATCCTGCTGTGCACTTGCTGGTGGGGAGCACCAGTGCCGCGGCCCCAAGGGAGACCCTGAGCATCCTCAGCCCTGGGCCGAGCCCTCTTGGAGCTGTGGGGGGCCAGCAGGGTGGGGAGGTGAGGAGCCATGGGGCAGGAGCTCTGACAAGCTTGGCAGCACTTCCCAGAATCCTGCTCCTGCTGAAACGGGCCAGGAAACTGTCTTGTTCTCCCAGCACTGCCTGCCAGAGGTGACATCTCTGAGCAGAAGGAAGGAACAACGTGCTCTGACCCAGCAGCTACCCAGGGTCTGGTTTGTGTGTGTGCCTGCCTGTGCCCGGCTCTCCCTGGCTGCTCTGCTCCGGCTGCGTGGTGGGCGAGGGGAGGGCTGCAGGAGGGGCTCTGATTTCTCTGGGACAGAGAATTTTTTCTTGGCAGTGTGGGCTGCACCCCCTGCGCCCCCCGGGGTCCTGCCTGCTGTGCAGGGCTGCTGTGCAGCTGGAGAGCAGCTGATTCCTTGGGCTCAGCCCCGGCTGAACCCAGTGCCCGGCTGGGAGCCCCGCTGGGCCCCTCTCCAAGCTGCCCAAGCTCCCATGCATCCCAAGGCTGCTTGATGAAGCCCTGTGGAAAATGGTGAAGGACTCCAGAGTCTGCCCTGGCCCTGCAAACCAGAGCAGGAGACCGGAGGCTCCTGGCCAGGGAAGTGCCTGGAGCAGCGAGGCTGTCGGAGGAGAGGCAGGGAGCAGCAGGGTGGAGGGAGCAGCGCCGTGTGTCAGGGCTGTGCCTGGAAATCAATCATCCTTCTTGAGCCCCTCGGCCAGGTGGGGGCTCAGATCCCGGGGGAGACCTTGTCTCTCCCCTTGGCTGGAAGTGGGAGCCCCCCCAGGATATTCCCTGTTCCCCCGGCTGCGCTCTGCGGCAAGGCCGTACTGAGCTGGCTTTGTTGCACACTTGGAGGGAGCCCAGCAAGCTGGAGGGCGGCCTTGCCTTGCTGCAGAGAAGCTAAATATAAATGTTTGGCCACAAATCAGGGTGTGGTGTAACCGTCAGCACCGGCTGGGCCTGGGGAGGGCAGGTGGGGATGGGCTGAGGGGCACAGGAAGGCAGTGCAGGGCAGTGAGGCTGGGATACAGCCCGGCATGGCGAGGGCAGGGAATCCTCCACCTGTCCTTCCACCTTTTCCATCTCCTGGCCACTTTGTGAGGAGCTGGGGAAGGGATGAGGCTGCTGGTTCATGGCTCTTGGCTTTGTTTCCAGCCTTTTCCCAGACTCCTTTCCTTGCACTTTTCTTTCTTCATTCCTTTGTGTCTGCAAGTGCTTTGAAGTGCACCTACGGTCTGACAGCATCCCTCTGTGCCAGGGGTGCCTGTCGCCGGATCCCTGTGGGGATTTGGCATCATCCTCACTGCCAGGCCTTTGGCAGCTCTTCCCCGTGCCCTCCCAGGGCTGTGCTCGGATGGAAGGGGCACAGCCCAGCCCTTTGCAGAGACGCAGCTACGGCTCCTTTTGCTGAATGAGCCTGGGAGCAGCACTGACGTCAGGCTGTGGAAATACCTGTGCGAGGGCCTGGGGCGGGCTCGGGGCTGCCGGCGGCACAGAAACCGGGAGGAGGGATGCGCTCCTCTCATCCTGAGAGGATGCGCCCGCCTCTGGCCCGTGCCAGCTGCTTTGTCTGGGCACGGTGGGTAATTAAGGGCTGAGCCGCGTTGTCTCTGGGGTGGGGCTGCTCTGGAGCCATGAGATCAGTGTGCCTTGACAGCCCCCTCGGCTGCTTGCCTGCTCTCTGCATCCCAGGGATGGGCTGCATCCCCTGACAGAACAAATCCCCCCCCAGCTGCAGCCAGACGCGAGCCCGGCTGTGCCTCCGCCTCTCCTCGGGGCTGTTTCCCCTGGGGAGAGGTTTCTCATCCATGGGCACACAGGGCTGGCGAACCCCTGAGTCACACACGCGTGGCAGAGGCCAAATCCCCGCAGCTCGCAGCCTTAGCCCAGCCCTTCCAGGGCTGCTGGTTTAAATTCGGCCGGCTCAGGGCTGAGCGTGCCCGGGGGTCCGGAGCGGGATGCGGAGAGCATCGGCTGGGAGCAGTGGCAGTGCCCTGTGCCATCCCTGCTCGGAGCAGGAGCCAGCCCCGGGATGCTCCCGCAGAGCCGGGTGACCCCGGCGGGGCCGGGGTGAGGAGCGGGGCTCCCCCAGCAGCGGGAGGATGCGGCCACAGCCTTTTCCTCTGCAGCTGATGCAATAGCGGAGCAGCTGTGGCCGAGTGACAGGAAATCTGGGCGCTGGTCCCTTCCCTCCGCAGTGATTTATGGGATGGTGTGGCCGCAGGCTGCTGCCCTGGAAATGGGCTGGGGTGGCTCCAAGCGGCTTCCTCTGCTCGGAGCAAACAATGCCTTCTGGAAAGGCATCCCGGCTGCGCCGCTCCCGGGCGCATCCCCCGGGAATGCTTGTTTGCAGGCAGAGGATGCCGGAGCAGCCCCCGTGCTTGCCGGGCTGTCCCATGGATGGGCATGGATGGGCAGCCCCATCCCCTGGCACGGATGCCGCTGAGATCCCTCCCGCTCCGGGAGCCCAGGGATGCGCTGGCAGGGGCTGCATCCCTCAGGGAAGAGCAAGGATTTCCATCTGCTGCAATGTTATTGTGTGTCGGGGGGCCACTGGGGGAGAATTTTGTATGAGGGGAGCAGGAAGGAGCCGGTGGGGGCTGTGGCCAGCTATAATTGCCATGGCCTCTGGAAAACATCCGCCGGGAGCTTCCTCCTTGCTTTGTAGCCGCGGCCGTGACGGGCAGCGGGGGGAGCTCGGGGCGGCGCAGCCGGAGCACAGCCTGGCCTGGCTGTGTGTGCATCCACCGGGACAAAACCCAGCTCTCCTTTGGCCCCGAGCCTCCTGGCTCGGCTTTCAGCCCATCACGCTCCGTTTCCCCCCTGGTCAGCCGGGAGGAGCCCGTTCCTGCCGGGAGGGCTGGGAGGATGCCGGGCTCCTGCAATGGCCCCAGGGCACTGCGGTGCTGGGACCTCTGTATTCCCCTTGCTTTTGGGGCATCCCTGGGGCTGTTCACCCTGTGCCTGGTTCTCTGCTCGCAGAGACAATGAGGGCTGCAGAGGAAAAGGAGCTCTGGCCCTGGCCCCTTCCTCCAGGGGCTGGGGACACACGGGCCCTTCTGAGCCCCTGGGCCAGCAGGGATTTGTCCCGGCAGCTTGGGGTGGGCAGGCACAGACCCCTGGCTGTGCTGGGGGAATCCTCCACCCTGCTGCCCGCTCCTGCTGCCTGGGTTTGTTTCAACAGCCTGCGTGTCACCAGCAGGAGGTGGATTTGGAGATTTCTCCGCCTGATGCGAGTCCCCGGAGTCCATCTTTCCATCTTCCATATTTATGCTCGTTTGGGGACACTCTCAGCTGTCTCCTGTGCACCCTGGTGCAGTGGCTGTGCCTCTGCCTTCACGCTGCCCCTCCCGCCAGCGGCAATCCTGCTTTGCCCTGGTGTGGAATTTTTGGGTGCTGATGCCATTGTTTGGGCTTATCTCGGCCTCCGGCATGCCCCATGCAGCTGTTTGCCTTGGGAGGAGGGTGGCTCCAGAAGCCAGGACCTGCCCTTTGGGGAGCTTTTGACCCCCGTGGTGACTGGATGCAAACAGGTGACACTTGCTGAGGTCCTCAGGGGACATCTCTGAGGAGGTCTTCTCACGGAGCGGGGCCGGCTCCGGTTGCGCTTTTATTTGCTTGTTAAATATTTTATTTGGCTCTCCTGATTTAGTGTTACGGTGGCTGTCACGGGCTCACACTGTTTTCCAGCTGTCTCTGCACATGTGCAGTGCAGAGGGAGGCCCAGCAGGAACCCGTGGGGGGCACAAGGCAGCCCAGGAGCTGGGAGGGAGAAGGGATGGGGATGCAGGAGGAGCACTGGCAGCCTGTGCTGCCTCCCAGGGTGCTCCTGGAGACCTACAGCTCAGGGCCAGACAGAAGGATTCTATTTGTATTCATACAACCAGTCTCCAAGCATTTGCCCTCCCTGAATTTGCCCACGGATGCTTTGGCACTGTTTCCAGCGCTGGCAGCGAGTTGCTCTGCAGGTTTGTGGCCGTGAGTGGCTGCGCTCTCATCTGCACGCCGTGCCTGTTCCCAGGCTGGGGGCTCGGGGAACAGGAGTTTTCCAGGCCCAAATGGCCATCCCGGGTGACAGTGGAGGCTGTGTGTCCTCCCCTCCTCCTGGGAGCATCTCTGGAGCTGCGGCTGAGGCTCCCCGGGGAGAGGCAGTGCGTGGGGGGAGTGTGACTGCACGGGCGGGGTGGGCATGGAAACGCCAAATATTTGAATGGGAGTGAAGTCATTCCGGGTAACGTGGGGAGTAAAAATAGACCCGGGGAGCAGGAGAGAAAATGCTACCGTTGCTGGACTGGTGCGTGGGAAAGCTCGGCTGTGGGATGGCAGCTGGGACAGGGTTAATCTTCACAGCTGGTGCAGTGCTGTGAGGGCTCAGAGGCTGGGGGTTTGTGCCCAAGCCCCACAGGGCTGCAGGGGCCTGGGGGCTGTGGCAGAGTGGCTCCTGTGCACAGTGTGAGCAGCCCCCGTGGCTCCACAGCCTGGCTCCCCTCTGCCGGGCACTGGCTCACCCCTCTCTCGTGTCCCCTGCAGCCGAGAAGGTGTCTTCCCTGGGCAAGGACTGGCACAAGTTCTGCCTGAAGTGTGAGCGCTGCAACAAGACGCTGACCCCGGGTGGGCACGCTGAGGTAAGGGCTGCCGGGGCGGGCAGGGTGGGAGCTGAGCTGGCACATCCCGGTGGGATGGGAATCCCAAGAACAGGGCTGGGACACATCTCTGATGCCGTGCAAGCCCAGGAGAACACCCTGCCGCTTCAACCGCTGCTGCTGCAGCTCAGGGTGCTCAGTGCACAGCCCTGGGCGAGCCACGGAGTGGTGCTGGCAGCCCGTGCGCTGCCCCTGTTCCGGCAGCCGGGGCTCGCTGCAGCTGCCGTGGGGCTCGGCACGCCCCAGGAAACACCCGCAGCTCTGGGCAGACTTGTTCGGGCACCTCCCGGGCTTCGGAGCCGTGTGTGTGCTGAACCTGCGGTCCAAAAGCCCAGGAATGGGGAATGCCCGTGTTGCCACGGCAACGGGAGCTGGGCGCAGATGCTCTGTGCTCCCTGCAGCCTGTGCTGGAGCGCGATGCTGCTGCCACTCCCCAGCGCTTGGGAGTGTGAAGGCGAACCCTGCTGGAGCTCGCAGCTGCCCGGGCTGAGCTGGATGTTGGTTGTGTCCCTGTGTGACACCCGGCGCCTGGGTTTGCTCGGCATCTGTCATTCCGCGGTGTCACCAGCTCCTTAGCCCGGCTGTAGCAGGCAAGGGCAGCAGCGGGGACAGCCGTGCTGGTGGCCCCCAGCGAGGTGGATCCGTGCTCCAGGCCGGGTTAAGGCCGGAAGGTTTGCTGCTTCTCCATATAAGGTTGGGTTCTGTTCCCATAGGGGACGGCAGCCAAGCCCCACTGACTGTGCCGGCAGCAGATTTGGCCCTTCCCTGCTTTTTCTCCCTCCTTTTGAGGAGGCTAGGTTGGGAAGGTGTCGTGGGGACAACAGTTCAATGTTTACCCTCCCCTGTGGCACGGTGGCACCGTGAGCACACTCATATTTCTGTTCAGCAGCCTCATTGCCCTGCCCCACCTCTGGCTGTGCCAGCACCTCTGCCCAGCTGCCACCCTGCCCTTCGTGGGCAAGGAGTCCAGAGGGTGGAACATGGGGCACGGGGCAGGAGCACGGGGCAGGAACACGGGGCAGGAACATGGGGCAGAACATGGGGCAGGAACATGGGGCAGGAACACGGGGCAGGAACACGGGGCAGGAACATGGGGCAGGAATATGGGGCAGGAACATGGGGCAGGAGCACGGGGCAGGAACACGGGGCAGGAGCACGGGGCAGGAACACGGG